CCTCCTCCTGTCCACCGACCATCGAGGTTCAAGAAACCCACAAGACAGAGGACTCTCGTCTCGTTGCCGTATTAGAGAGAAAAATCAATCGAGCGAGCGTGAGACAGAGTGTTGCCTTCGTCGGCCGTTTTCGGGGTGAGTTGCGTCCTCTCTCGGGGGGCTTCAGTCGTCGCCAGCGAACCACGAAACCCCCTGCGGCGGGTACGTCTGGTTCCTTCTCCTCTCGAGCTAGTGATCCTCGGGGAGATTGATCGAAGTAGGGGGGCGAGGGAAGCAATAATAGGCCAGAGAAGAGGCGACGGATTAACATCTATCAATAAATGTATGATGAGCCTTTGAAAATATAAACTATTATCATCTTTTAAATGTAAGTCATATCATGAAGACATCCTTTTCAAGATATATTTCTAAAATTTTAAAAGAAGATTTTATTCTTTAAAAAACATTTTGATCTGTCCATGTTATAATGTGCTGTGAGTTATAGGCATTCATCATAATTTCATTATCTAAGTTTTGCACCAGTTTGAAATTCATGACTAATTGTTTCGATTATAAACTTTCTCATCATAATTTGTCCATAGATTCAACTAACTCATTTAGATCTTTCAAAGTGAATCAACAAACCACACAGAAAACATATTTTCATTTTTGTTTCTCAAAACGAAAAACACCTTGAGGAAAAATATATCATAGAAAAACCTAGGGAATCCATCACCTGAACACACTGAATTAAGTGATAAATTACTTCAAAGTGAAACTGTGCACTTCACACATCTTAACGAATTATTATTCTTGAATCATGATGTAAAATAAATAGACTAGTTTATAAGTCTATATACATCGTATTTTGAAGATCTAGGTGACTCACTATCATTGAAATTTATTGTCATATCTATCTTGCGTTAGTAAACGATTTTTTACAACCTCTGTCTCGAATAATACCTCCATCACCCAGTTGTAAAGAAATATTTAAACATCACTGAAGTAATAGCAAAAGTCTAATGAATTTCAAATGATGGTCTAAACTATACTTCCAAATAGTAATTTTGATTAATCATATTGATCTTGAAATGGAAGTATCCATTGTGTACTTTTATGCCTCTATTTCTCAAAGATTCAATCTGGTTATCTAAACTCAACTTAAAGATTCTAGACGTATTTGTAAGCTCAGGATCAACAGATCATGCAATTTTTTAATAATGCTGAACTGTTTGAATTATCATCTCTACTCTGATTTTGATTTGTAGATTCTTTTTTTCTATTTGCCACATCTTAACCTAGACTTGTTCCTTTCTCTTGACATTCCTCCAAAACCTTCGTAATGTTGCTGCAGTGCTTTTCCCTACTTTCAATACTCAAGTCTGAACTAGATGTTTTTCTTGATTCTTTCGTGTAAATATTTTTGCTACAAGTCAAATCTCAGATCTCATCCAACATTTTCTTTTAAAATTCACAAGAACTATTCACACTAGTTACCATGGAACCCAAACTCTTATGTAAGCAAGATAATATGATAAAGCCTTGATTTTCTCACCAAAATAAGCATCAAGATGACTCAATTCAGTAATAATCACATTGATTGATTATTGTGGTTAAACAAACAACACATCAATTAAACCTTGATGGCTATATATAGCTTTTCATATATGTTAAAGAATTCATATAAAACTTGTGGTTTTCCCATTTAAGATAATGAATGTAACATTTTTATTAAGAGTCAACATGATGACTCTTAGAGCCTGCCTATCAATAATTCTCAATCAACTTGAGACATTTCTTAATCAAGGTTTTAGTGCTCTTGGTGTTGGGGAGAGAGATCCCTTAGAGAAACTACATTGAGAGAGAGAACCTTGAGAGAGCTCGCATTGAGAGAGAGAGAGAGAGAGAGAGAGAGAGAGAGAGAGAGAGAGAGAGAGAGGTGAAAAAATATTTGACAACACATCTATTGGTAAACAGAAAATGAGAATTGACAAAAAACTAGTATAAATCCAATTCCACCCTCTTGATGTTTTACCCAGCCTTGAGCTTAAACCTCCAAACTCATGAGGGCTAATATGAATTTCTAGTAATCTTGTTTAGCCTCACAAATTCCACCACCACATTACAACCATTGATAAATGATATGTTCAACATTTTCTCTAAAAATTCATATTTTTTTCTTTCGACGATATACTGATTTATACTAAGACCAAATAACTACACTATCAACAATTACAACTTATCTTCTCTATTATTTATGATAAAGGCTGCACTCAATAAGAAAAGTATTTGGTCGTGCAATAATAACTAGAGTATTTTGGGCACGTAATTGGTAGTTGATATGAGGATATTAATAGGATTTTTGAGTTTGACATGCTATTATTGCAAATTTTTCCCAGATTGAGATCTTGTAACAATTTAGGAGACACTTTTGGCTAGAATGAGTCCACTTCTCTACCCTTTTTATTTTAGAGACAAATGAGTTTTGCTAGCAATTAGGAGTGATTTGATACAAGAAAGGCAGCCAACAACTGATTTCAGTCATGTGATTCCAAAGGAGAACCAATTGAAAACTACTTATGAATACAAACTACTGGCAATCATGCTGTTGGTGCTTAGTAGTGACACTCTTTTCAACAAGAAATTTTATATCTATATAGGGAAGAAACATAAGACACTTGAAAATAAAAAATTGGTTAGGAAACTAGTAGATTATAATATTTATATTAGGTACCAAAAATGACTGCATAATAAGATGGTACATTGTTTATCTTATTATATGTTGACGATATGCTTATTCTTAGAAAAGATATGTCAACAATTGATAGGTTGAAGAAGTAGCTGAACAAATCATTTGCTATGAATTTCATGTGGCCAACAAAGTAAATACTTGATATATAGAGTTTTCGTGACAGAAAAATTTAGAAGATATAATTGTCGTAGGAGAAATATATCGAGAAGGTGGTAGACAAGTTTGGTCTGGGTAATGCAAAACCTATTGGTTCTCCTTTTGCAAATCACTTTAAACTTTGTGTAGAATAGAGTCCAACAAGTGATGAAGAAAATACCTTATGCTTTATGTTCTTTAAATTTGATGTATGTAATGATATGTACAAGACCAAACATTACACATGTAGTTGGTGTTGCTAACAAATTTCTTACAAATCCAGGTAAAGAGTATTAGATAGTAGTGAAGTGGATATTTAAATATTTTAAAGGGAGCTTTAAAGTTTGTTTAAGCTTTGGAGAGATCTTCTTGAATTGACACATTATACAAATGTTGAGATAGCTAGAGATGTCGACACATAGAGGTCTACTTCAAGCTATGTGATTACTTTTGTAGGGGGGGTTGTTTCATGGCAATTTAGATTGTAAAAGTGTGATGTTTCGTCAACTACAGAGGCTGATTATATTACTACTACAGAGGTTTGTAAATAAATGTTATAGATGAAAGAATTCTTATGAGAATTGAGAGTGATGCAGAAGGAGCACGTGGTTTTTTGTGACAATCAGAGTGCAAGAACACTGTTATCTATTTGTACAAGAACCTAAGATTTTACTCAAAGTCGAAGCATATCGATGCTCGTTACCACTAGATCAGAAATGTAATTGAAGAGAAGCAATTACCAATCAGGAAAATTCACACAGATGACAACAGAGTAGACATTGTCCAAGACTTTGACTAAAGAAAAGCAAGAGATTTGTTCACAGCTGATCGGTATGGATGTTCCTTAAGGAACATGACACAACCTCTCATAGAAAGATGCATTTAATGCGGAGAGAGAAGACGGGGTCCACAGCATAACTGGTAAGTGGACTGATTCCTCATTTCATCCCTATAGAGAGAGTTTGAGAGTGGATCTCAAAGGGAGATCTTTGTTGGGTTGGTGACTGATTGGTGAGTTCATTTGAGGGCGAAGACCAGTGTACTTTGGCCACCTGTGATCGAGGGCGAGTCTGTCTGTCTCCGTCTTTCTAGCTCATTCTCTTTATTTACGCCTCGCCTGGTCTTTGTCTCTCTCCCTCTCTCACTGTCTCTCTCTGTTCTGTTTTCGCCATCTCTCGTATTCACTCGCACCGTTTCTCTCCCTCTCACTGTTGTCCGACTGCAAACGGCAGACACTCATACTGGTCGATCAACAAGCGGAATGAGATGGGATTAAATAACCAACCAAAGAGACATAAAATGGAAAAGCGACGTCGCGCGGCAGGTACACACATCCCTTGGCCCAGTTGCTTTATTTCGCTAGGATACCTTTCGGTCGGTCACATGCCCGTTTTATACGCACGTCGTCCTCGTCCTCTCTTTACGATACAGAAGCCATCAGATCGCGCCGTTCGTCCGTCGCACTCTTATTTCGCAGAGAAGTTCACACCTTGTGCCCTGTTTTTCCGTCGCATTTACGACCGGCACTACTCATTGACACGTGAACGATGCTCTAACATAGTACCCACCGAAAGATTCACCCTCTCTACAACGTGGTATGTGTGGCGCCGTTCCAGCCGAAATCGTCTAGTGGATAGGTACGTCGCGAAGGACGTAATTGCGTCTGAGAGAGAGAGAGAGAGAGAGAGAGAGAGAGAGAGAGAGAGAGAGAGAGATGGACCCGAGGAAGAGGAATGGCTCCAAGTGGATTGGCACAGCTGAAGAATGAGGGAAAAAGGAATAATAGAGAGATCATAAATCAGTAAAAATGGGCGCCTGAGCACCTAGGACATCTATCGATCGGGTAACCGCACGTCCCCTGCACAGGGGCAGGAAGAACGGGTGGTTGGTGCGCAGCACACACCCTTTATTCCGTAGCCGTATAGTAAGTAAATCACGACCCGCAGCCGGACTCTCGCCGCAAGCCGGCTCCACTCAAGGCTCAGCGGACCCTGCACACAGAAGAGGCACAGTTAGGGGACGGACGTCAGCGAGCGCCGACACGACACGCAGATATTGAGGGAGATCAGCAGCGGCGGCCAGAGGGAGACCGGGAAGCAGGGATGGAGATGTGGAGAGAGAGGAGGGGGGCGGCTCACTTGGTGCAGTCGGTCTTGGTGCTGATGGGGTAGGGGACGCTGACGCCGCACTTGCCCGGGAGACCCGAGGTTAGGGACGGGTTGAGCCCGGGGATCTTCCCCGCGTAGCTCTTAAGGCAGTTGCAGGTGGCGCGGCGGTCGGCGGGCGTCTTGGCCTGAGAGTTGAGGGCCCTCACGCCGTTGCAGCAGGCTGGCGTGAGCGGGCCCTTGCCGCGGATGTAGTTGACGCAGGGGGCGATGGACGAGGCCACCTTCGGGCAGCTGACAGCGGCGTTCGCGCAGGGCGCGGCCACGAGAAGGCACAGGACCACGAATGCGACGAGCGCGCGAACCCCGCCGGCGGCCATGGCTGAAGTTCCTACTCCTCCCGTGTAAGCGCTCGGTAGGCTTCTGTAGTCGAACCTCTTACTCCGGAGGGGTGCTCGCTCTGGGTTGGTGCAGAAACCCTTTACGCCGCGGCTTTATATAGAGGATCGTTCGGGCATCGCGCTGGGGTACGCTCACGCAGCCAACTAATCAATAATTCTCTCTATTCCGCGGGGCCGCTGGCCGACCACGCCCGACCAATTAATGAGTGACGATCGTCGGCGTTGAAAACATCAGATCCCGGGTAAGGGGGGCGGCTGGAGGGGGCGAGAGTGTGAGAGAGAGAGTGGAGTTGACTATCCGGCTACGGCAATTCAGGGTTGGAATGGAGAGGTGAAGACCCGGCCATCTGATCTCCGCCGACCGCGTCGTCGGTTCATCCTCTATTCTCAATATAGAATTGGTCAGAGTTGATTGCCGAAGCTGAGCCAATATTCACCGCAATAATTCGCCGGGCTGCAACGCCCCCCGCGCCGCCAGAGGCCGCCGAGCATTGGATGCTCGTACAAGCCACCGCCACCCGGTGTCGTCATCACCGACTGCCTGTGATAGCGATTTTAACGCGGGCGCCTCCGACTAGGCCGTGGGTCCCCTCCTTCATTTAGACACCATGGGAACCACAAAAGCGCCCTACGCAGCTGGTGTTACGGGCCGATTAGGAACCATTACGCAGATGAAGGCACCTGAAACTACGGTAGTCAGTGGAATAGACAAAACACCCCCTACAACTGTCTGGTAGTCAATGAAATCGAGAAATGTGATTCCCACAAACTATGGATCTGTCCAAGGATTCGAGACAAAGGTATAGAGGAAACGAGGCAGAAATGAGTGATGTGCTGGGATTTGAGGTTTGGAGAAATTAGCTTTCATTTATGGAGACTATTTCTTTTAGTGGAAGAACAGATGGAAACAGAACATTAAAAGCCGACTACATCCATTTCCCATACACGATGCTGAACGCGTTTCACTTTTAAAGGTATCGTGCTGAAAATAAAGTTTCTGATTCTAAATGAGGCTCACCCAGCAAACAAATAGAGGAAATCCTGGAAGACTCACAATATCCCGGTCACTGCTTTTAGTTAAACTCAGAGAACCTGCAGCGAAAGTCAACTCCCCAAGTCTGTTACCCGCCGAGTATGGACGCGCGTTGTACATGTGTAACTCTAAAAAAGACGTCCGACAATTTAGGGCGAACCACACTAGAAAGAGAATAGGTCGAAAGGAGGTAATGGAAGAGTGGACTAGATAGTTGACTGCAACTCCTCATGTGCCGAGAAATGTAGGAAGAATGTCGTCACAAGAGGGAGGAAACATGCTTCTTAATTCGTCAGATTGCCACAAACGATCCCCCGGTCTACGCGTCGGGAAAAACCGGAGCGCGAACACCCAGGATAACGGCCACCGTGGATGGACACTTATGGAAGACGGGCCTGTCTGTGTGTTTTACTAGCTCGCTCTCTCTCGTTATGTCTCGCTCGCTCTTTATCTCTCTCCCGTTGTGTTAAGCTTTCTCTCTTTTTCACCTTCGCCGTCTCTCTTATTCAGCATCACCGTTTCTCTCCCTCTCACTATTCTCCAACAACGAGCGGCAGATACTTCACTCACCTAAAGAAAAACACTATTCTCTCTTATTCAGCATCAAAACAAAAAAATGAAAAGGGGGTTACTAACCTAAAGAAAAACACATAAATTGCCGAGGCGACGTCGGGCAGCAGCTAGCCACATCCGTCAGCGCAAATAGCTTTGTATCCTTCAGATTTTCTCAAGTTGGTTACATGCCCATCTTATAGGCATATCGTCTTCTATTTATGACACGCGCTTTACCGTTCATCCGTCGCACTCCTATTTCGCACACAAGTTCACGCCGTGTCCGGTGCATCCGTCGCGTTTACGACCGCCACTACCAGTTAACACGTGAACAATGCTCTAACATAGTACCCGCCGAAAGAGTTCTCCGCCTCAGCAAAATGGCATGTGTGGCCCCGGTCCAGCCGAAACCGTCTAGGAAGAAAGAAGCATGGCTCGGCGGCTGGATAGGTACGTCGCGAAGGACGTAATCGCATTTGAGCGAGAGAGAAAGATGGATCCGAGTAAGAGGAATCTCTCCAAGTGGATTGAAGCATACACACAAATGAGGGAAGGAGTAATAGAGGGATCACCAATCAGCAAAAATGGGCACCCGAGCACCTAGGACATCTATGGATAGTATGGCAAGTACATCACGCGCCCTTTATTTTCTAGCAGTATAGTAAGTACATCACGACCCACAGCCGGACTCTCGCCGCAAGCCGGCTCTACGCAAGCCTCAGCGGACCCTGCACACAGAAGGGGCACAGCGGGGGGACGGACGTCAGCGCCGACGCGAGACGCAGATATTGAGGGAGATCAGCAGCGACGGGCAGAGGGAGACCGGGAAGCAGGGATGGAGATGTGGAGAGAGAGGAGGGGGGCGGCTCACTTGGTGCAGTCGGTCTTGGTGCTGATGGGGTAGGGGACGCTGACGCCGCACTTGCCCGGGAGACCCGAGATTAGGGACGGGTTGAGCCCGGGGATCTTCCCCGCGTAGCTCTTAAGGCAGTTGCAGGTGGCGCGGCGGTCGGCGGGCGTCTTGGCCTGAGAGTTGAGGGCCCTCACGCCGTTGCAGCAGGCTGGCGTGAGCGGGCCCTTGCCGCGGATGTAGTTGACGCAGGGGGCTATGGACGAGGCCACCTTCGGGCAGCTGACAGCGGCGTTCGCGCAGGGCGCGGCCACGAGAAGGCACAGGACCATGGCTGAAGTTCCTACTCCTCCCGTGTAAGCGCTCGGTAGGTTTCTGTAGTCGAAACCTCTTACTCCAGAGGGGTGCTCGCTCTTGGTTGGTGCAGAAACCCTTTACGCCACGGTTCTTTATAGATGATCCCATGCAACCCGATTTCGGTTTGGAAGAGACGAGTGGCGTGGGTGTCGTGAGGGTGGTACGTGGAGGTCTCTGGGAGAAGATGGGGAAACGGTCCCCACGTCCGGTGGAAAATTTAGTGGGACGGAGGTTCGATCGCGCAGCGGTCACATCTCCGGGACGGCCCGTTTGCTGTACGAACGCGGTAAGTTGAAGGACCACACGTCGGGTTTTCCAGTCGTCGGAGAACAACGTTTAACTCCCACGGACCGGCCTGATCGCACAAGGTTCGTTTCATCTCCGACCAGATACTCCCGGTTTATCCTGTAGAGAGGCGGCCGCGCGTTATTCCGACGCCGTCCAACTTCCCGACGTATTAATCTGCCGCTCTGGCGCAACATGCGGTGAATCCCGAGACAACTGTCCTCCGTTCTCATCCGCGGTGCAATGCTCAACAGAATCCGTCTGCGGCTGGTTTCCAGCTGCAATAATTACTGGAATCGTGAAACCCGCGCAAATGCAGTCCTCTGATTTATTTCCCTTCTTCGGGCGCGCGCCCCCTTTGGCCTCGGCGTCAGCTCGACGGTACCTTTCCGTCGTCCCCTTTCTCCGCCTGATGGGCCCGCTGAAAGTCAAAGGGTTCTTTCACGCGGTTGACCCATGGAGGGTGAGTGCGGTCGTCTAATTCATGGGTGTATCTTTCCTCACAGCACAAAATTTTCTCCCATGCTCATGACATAAACGATGAGGTGAGCCCGTTGTGTTGTGACCGCCATGAGTTGATGAATGAGATATCCGACAGTCGCCATCTTAGCGTCTCCGGTTCTCGTCGAAAGAGCCGTAAAGTCGTTGTCCCATCTCCCCGTGAAGCGAGCGACGGTGCACAGCCTGAGCGTATTGGCAGCCAGGGCACCGAAATCTACGTCAGAGGACTCCCTGTAAAAGCCCTAGTTCGGACGCTGTGCACATAGATCTTCCCCTTTCCCATCAGAGGGATAGTTCCTTTTATGTGTTTCAGGCCGCGAAAGATTATCATATTCTCTGATAGGTGTACTGTAATGAACCGGGGAGGGTAAGGTAGTTGAACCAAGTCTGCCTCCGACAAATGAGCTAGAGCGCATAATTGAGCTAGAGCGCAAATAACTAAGTCTGCGGTATCTAACCTTTGAGGTTTGCCCTTGTCAACCAATCACCAATGAATGTGTGTCCGCGATGCGAACCATCCCCCGAGTACTATTGCTGTTGGCGAATCGAGAAGCAGGTTTCCTCTACAACACGGTATGCGTGGTCTCATTGCAGATGGAATCATCTAAGGAGAGAGAGGCCCAGCTCGGCGGTGGAATATGTTTGTTATACCGGACGTAGTCGCTCAGATGGGTTCTGCGCAGAAATGGTGAATGCTCCCTCTTTGTTAGCTTGCAGTCATAGAATTACCTGAGTGATCAAGTTGGAAGCTGCTTTCACAGTAGAGTAGACGGCAACAGGGTTATACAGACTTCTTGTTAGAGCTGAGGGGACCTATGATGTGCGGTAGGCCCTGCTTTTGAGGCATGTGCGTTGTCGTCTGGGTTGGCCTTTTAAGTAGGTCTATCAGGTTCAATTAATTCAAGAAATGAGTAGGAAAGCACATCCCGTTTAATTGGTTGTTAGATTTATAATTCATATTTATTGGTATCCAGATGACGCATGCGGACCCCCACTCTCATCATATGACCGATGAGGTGAGCCGGCATGAGTTGATGAAGGAGATATTCGGTAAACGCCATCTTAGGGTTTCCAGCTCTTGTCAAAAGAGACGTACAGTTGTCCTCCAATGTCATCGTGAAGCGACCGGCGGTGCACAATTCGAGCTTATTGCCGCTACTATCTCTCTCTCTGGCTCTCACGGGACCATGAAAATATGATAGGAAAACTCGTTTAATCACATATTTTGGCTGGTTCAACTTCAGACATTTACGTAATATCTAGTATACAAGTTTCAGCCATCAATAGCAATGGAAAATGGCCTGAAGTTCGTTCTGTATAACAGTGATTTTTTCCCTTGCCAAATCAACGAAGGAACATCTGTCACTATGTCCTTGTTCACTCGTCAATGCATCCACACAAGCCTAGAATGAACTAGCAGCACTGGAGAAGAAGACCGATTGCCACTGACCACCATAAAAGGATTTGGGGCTGAGGAAGGAAAAGCATCTTCCTTGGAACGCGTTCAGAACGAGTCAGTACCGTCGGTACCGTCAGTACCTCTGTCTGTGTGTCTCTCGTTCCACTTATCGAGAGGGGTTTAAGGGCTCTGTCTTCCTTCTCCTCTCTGGGTACTGCTCATTCGAGAGCACGAGGTTTTATAGAATAATCCGTTTTAGTGGAGGAAGACGAGTTTGGCATTGTGTTTAGGAAAGAGATGTAATCTGCTTCCGAGGTTCTCGTTCTGTCGGTGTGTGCGCTACTCCTTTATCGCCTAGGTTCTTTGCATGGTCAGGGGAGGATTTCCCAAACCACATCAACCTGGTCCATTATATTTTCTAGGTCTTCTATCTGTTTCTGTCTTGCCTAGCCGTACATCTATTTACGGTTCCTTGGAGACACTTTCATACTCGGCGGGCAACACATTTATGGTCTCGCTTCAGGTCCTCGTTCACACCCTCTTTAACGGTTTAATTTATGTCATGGTACGCTACGCTACTCCTGCATCTGTATCTTTGAAAAGAACGTGCAACAATTGGGCTTGAATGCATAAGAGCGAATCACATGAATCAAGCAGTCCACAAAAGGAGCAGGTGAAAATAACAAATAGGTGACTGTAGCTTCCCTTCTCCTGTTTGTGTCATCCTTCAGGCTTCTATAGCATCCCTTTTTTCACCACTATATTCCTTCCAATGGTAAGTGATTGGTGAGTTCATTTGAGTGTCAAGATCAGAGATTCCATTTTTGTGTTCTTGGAGAGAGTTCTTATATACTCCATTCACATCTAATAGAACTTTCATCATCATGTCTCTTTGTTTGTGAATGTAGAATTCTTATGCCTCTTTGTCGTGGGTTGTTTGTTTCTTGTTTCCTTCACATCTTCTGCAACTCCATATTAGACATTTTACTCTAACTAGTATGAGAGCCAAGTTCATCGAATATGGAGATGGAAAATATTTTTCACATGATTAGCTTGAACAAGAACAATTAGACCATATGGAAACTAAGAATGAAAGATTTCTTGAATTACAAGGACTTGTATGGATTTCTACAAGGAGATGGTACAAGACTAGAGGCAACATCAATTAATGATTGAAAAAAGTTAGATCAAAAGACAATTGACTTTATCAAGCAATAGCTCGACGACAATGTTTGTCATCATGTATCCACAAAAAGTTCTAAACACTCTTTGGAAGATGTGAGAAAATCTTTATGAGAGAAAGATAATAGGTAACAAGGCATTCTTGATCATAAGACTTGTAAATCTGAAGTATAGGGAATGCACTTTTATTACTGAGCATTTGAATGAGATACAACGTACTACTAACCAGGTAACTTCTCTGAAGATGAATTATAGGTATTGTTACTTCTCAGTTTATTGCTAGATAGTTGAGAGACATTAGTGATTTTTCTCATCAATTCCACACCGAATGGTGTCATCACTATGACTCAAGTAACATGTAGTTTGCAAAATGAGGAGTTGAGGAGTATAAAGTCAACTAGTGAATCACAAACACTTGTCATAGAAAATAGAGGGAGGTTAAAGTCAAGAGATAGAAGTCACTTCAAGAGTAAAAACAAGTCAAGGTCAAGGAAGGAGATCACTTGTTACAATTGTGGTGAAACGAGACTCTTCAAGAGTCAATGCAACGAACTAGAGAAGAACAAGAAGAAAGAAGTAGAGAATAAAGAATAAAAAAGGAACACAATGGCCACTATTCAAAGTGATGATTTTTTGACTCTCTACTACTGACGAGAATTTTTCTTCTGTTTGTCAAGATTCAAAATGGATCATTAATACAAAAACTTCCTATCTTGGCTATAAGTTAGTGTTGAAGGATGTTATGATGTGGAAAAACTGAGAGTTAATTCAATTTTAGTAGGATGACTAGATGATGAAAACTTCAAAGGTAAGTTTGTTGGAGGCAAATGGAAGGTCACAAGGGGTTCAATTGTTGTAGCAATCAATACATGGATATTGATTGCTTAGCTTGTAAATAACATAGAGTTTCTTTTTCTAGTCCTCCATTGACTAGAAAAATGTATGCTTTAGAGCATGTCCACACAAATGTTTGTGATCCTTTAAGGATGAAGATCGTTGGTGGCTCCATTAATGTTCACATCATTAATGGTGGGCTGTGAGATGTCGTTTGATTTCAGGTTGAGAATAGAAAGAATCAAATTTCGTAAAATTAAATTCCCCCCTTTGTCAATTCAGAAAACACCAATTTTGACTTTCTTCTCTGCCTCGGCCATGGTTTTAAACCTGACAAATGCCTGAAAAACTTTACTCTTCTGCTTCAAAAAAGTAACCCACATTAGTCATGAATAATCATCTATAATCAAGAAGAAATATCAATTTCCTCCATATGTGCTTGGTGTGATCAGGCCACAGAGATCTCCACAGATCAGCTCTAGTGGGGTGCTAGCTCTGAATAGTGAGGTAGAGGGAAAAGCATGTCGAGGATGTTTAGTAGCTACACAATCTCGGCATATGCTCTTGAGCTTTTAATTGTCAATTTCAACAGATAAAAACTTCTCTATCTTCTTTACTCAAGCTAGAAGTCTTCTTTGTTGATCGAGGATTGTGAGATAGCCTGATTTCATCTCGATTTTGAATCCTTGATCATCTAAGTGACCAAGGCTACGATTTAATCATTGACTGATGCTTTGTAGCAAAATCACAATTTAAGTAAATAAAAATGTAAAT